TCTGAGTCTGGATCCTCTTTCTGGGCTTTCTCTGCTATTTATACTTCGTAATAATAACCGTCGAAATGAACTTCTAACCGTTGAAACATCCCTCTATGATCCCTGATCATACTCTCTCATAGTTAACTCCACTATGCCATGTCTACAGTTAGACTTCTCTTTTAATTTTGAATTTAAACCTTGTGAGTAGCCGTTAGGCCACATTACTTTATATCCCTTGATCATTCCAGTGCTATGCAGACCCATTATTATCAATATGAGTTGATACGTGTCTGACTATGGTTGGCGATTTATATTACCTTTCCAAATTGCCCTTCTCATTTCACATATTGAATCGTGATTGACTTATACAATTTATACAGTCAACAGCATGAAAGGAAAAAAATTATTAAATATTTCTGAAATATCACGTGTTCATATTTTAAAATTAACTATTATATATTATATTTTTTATATTTTTCAATCACTCAACAAAAAATCATAAACCTTATTTTTTCCATCAATCACAACATTTTAAAATATCACGTAATTTATTCTAAGAGCACTGAATAATTGTTGGGATGAAAAAGGTGGGCGCGTGCATAGAGCGCGTGAACTAAAGAGAATCTAACCAACGGCCTCTGACAAAAGTGTCATATATAGACAATTTTAAATGCTCAAGATACGGAGAAAATCAAAGTATCGCGATAAAATAGTCGATTTAATACCGAGGACGAATACCCTGACAGTCGGTTGACATTTTATAGGTAAATTACATTAATTACTATTAATGTTAAAAAAATAAAAATTATTACTATTAATGTTAAAAAAATAAAAATTATTATAAATTTGATATAATTATATTAATTTTTTAAAATAAAATTTATAGTAATCAAAACTAATATAGTTAATGTGTAGACATAAAAAATATATATTTTAGTATTAAAATATAATATATATTATTATTTTATTTATATAATTAACAAATTGGTGATAAAAAATAAGTTAATTACATTAATTACTATCAATGTTAAAAAAATAAAATTATAGTTAATGTGTAGACATAAAATTTATATATATTTTAGTATTAAAATATAATATATATTATTATTTTATTTATATAATTAACAAATTGGTTATAAAAAATAAGTTAATTATTACATGAATTAAAATATTAATAGAACTTAAGTTATCAAAAATTGAAATTCAGAATCAAAATATGAGATAATTATACAAAGTTAGTTGTACTAGCATAATTTAAAAATATAAGATAATTATATAAAGTTAGTTATACTAACATAATTTAAAAATCAAAATCAAAATTGTGACGATTCATAGTACAATTATACATAAAAATAAGAAATAAAATATCCTGCATAAGTATAATTATAATGACTTTATGAAAACATATCACCCCATCATGTCAATTCTATATATGTATTGAAAATTTTAAAAAAAAATGAAAATCTCGGCGATAAGTAACTAGACAAAGATATAAAGAAAAAGTAGTGATTGGGATCCCATCTCACAAGACTCTCATAAGAGTTATGTTAGGGATCCTAAGTATTCTATCAAATATTCTGCTAAGGTCACAGGTTCAATTGTGGTTAAGACTTGGGGCTTAAGCCCCAAGGTCACAGGTTCAATTCTCTCACCCTGGGCCAATCTTCTGGGCGAAGCACAGTTGGTTAGGAGATTGGACTTCAAGTTGTCTAATCAGCACTTGGTGTGGGTTCAATGCTCCCCCGCTGTGCGAGTCCTGACTTAAGCAGAGCTTGTATTGGATTTCCAAGTTATAGTCTCCTCGCTCGGTTGTATTAGATTCCCAAGTTATAGTCTCCTCGCTCGGAATGACTAACAGGACACCTTGGTGATCTCTGCAAGGGGCGCTGCCTTGAACCTGCAGGAGGATAAGGAGGATTTTCCTGTAACTAAAATATATATATATATATATATATATATTCTACCAAATCTCTCACATGGGTGTGAGACCTACACACATATGGATTTGTGTGAGTCCCACCCCATGCGAGAGGTTTGATAGAATAATTGATAGAATATTTGGGATACACAACATTTCTTCTCCCATAAATCTAAATCATTCATGATGTAGACCCCACACATACATGAGTGTGCCCCACACATACATAGAGGGTTAGAATTACTTTAGAGGTGTAGAGGTCATCCCAAAGGGAATCTCAAACATTTTCCATAAAAATAATTAAGTATAGAGAATCCTTTTATTCACATTTATATAGATAATTATATAAAGTAGCATATATATATATATATATATATATATTTTAAATATGACGATTCACACCACCTAAGTTATGTATTTTATGTATTAGGACAATTATACATAAAAATAATAAATAAAATATCCTACATAAATATAATAATAATGACTTTATAATATTAAATTTTTTTTTTAAAAATGAAAATCTCAACTATAAGTAAATAGATAAAGATATAAAAATAAAAGTAATGATTGAAACCCACCTCACAAGACTCTCATAAATCTAAAACATTCATGAGTAAACCATTCATAATGTGGACCTCACACATACATGAGTGGATCTCACACATATAAAGAGGGTCAGAATTATTTTAGGCGTGTGGAGATCATCTCCAAAGGGAATCCCAAACATTTTCCATAAAAATAATAAAGTGTAGAGAATCATTTTATCCACATTTATATATAGCAAATGCCAAAGATTGGCTTAAGATTTGGTTGGTTGGTATGATGGATATAAGTGCACTTATTTAGATAAGTGTATTTATTTGGGTCACATTACCTTTCTATTTTTTTTACATTTTTTTCATAAAAAGTTAAAAAGTATACTTATGTAAATTCCAAATATATAAAATGTATTATAGAAATTAGTTAAAATATTAAAACAATTTTACAATTAATTAATTTTTTGGTATTTTCCTATGTTCTAGGAACACTTATTAACATGACTTTTTATTTATTTATCAAACTTTGTTCATGTGCAAAAATAAATAAATAAATATTATTCAAATTCATTTTAAGTATGATCACGCTTAAAGAAATTTGGGTCACATATTAATTTTTTTTTCACACATTCTAAAGTTGATTGCACCCTTTTTTTTTTTTTTTGGCATATGATTACATATCAAATTAATTTCTTTATTTTAATACATTTTCAATTATAAGATTATATTTTTAAATTTTCTTATATTTTAAATTGTTTCCTGGTCTTACTAATAATAATTTTAAGGACTATCAATAAGAATCATATATTTTTTTAATAACTTGGTATCCGGCCTAATAGACGGAATAATCTCGGGGAACTAATCCCACAATTCACTATTGAGGGTCTATTTAAAGTCGGGAAAAAGCCTTGTATCGATTAACCCTAAGAAATTATTTGTATTTAGGAGGTTTCGAAATTGAGACATTGGATGGAGACCAATAAAAACTATATAATGCCAAAATATTTATAATCTCAATACACATTTTATTTTATCTCAAAACACTTTTATACATTTTAATATACTTTTATATACATTTAGGTCCTTTTTAGCGACACAAGAAATAAGAAATTTATTAACTTATTTGGATCACATTATCTCTTTATTTTTTTGTATGCCTTTTCGTAACAAGTAAAAAATTAAAAAATAAGGGTTATTTTGAAAAGATGGTTAAAAGTAGAGTTTTTGATTTTTTTATAAAAAAAATGTATAAAAAATGTGAGAGATAATATAACTTAAAATGAGTTAAAAATTAGAAGATGATTTTTAACCATCTTCTCAAAATGCCCTAGGTCATACCCAAAACTAGCCTTATTTACACTAACAACAACCTTAGGATTATTTTTAGTATTTTCCATAATTAAAAGAGTAAATTATAAATATATCTTCTGAGATTTGCTTAAAATATGAATTATTCCTTTTATTTACAAATACTCCATTATCAATATTTTTTATTTAACAGAATTAACTAAAGAAATAAAATTTATAATGACTCTCTTGTACAATAATAGAATTATCTGAATTATTAATTGAAATAAATTTATGATATCATTAAAAATTATTAATTAACTTGATAATTTATTAATAAAATGGGCTAGTTGTTATGAAATTTAAAACTTCAAATGGCAAGATATAATTTTTAGAATTACAGGAGATAATTTGTATTTTAAATAAATCTCAAAAATATATTTATAATTTACCTTAATTAAAAGTATATCAAGGCCTTGTTTGGCAAAGTCAATGCATGTTTTTAGAAGTACATGAGATAATTTATATTTTAAATAAATCTTAAAAAATTAAGTATATCAAGGCCTTGTTTGGCAAAGTCAATGCATGTTGTTTTGTCAACACAACTTTTTCTTTATTAAAAGGATAAATTACAAATACACTAATTGACATTTGCTTAAAATACGAATTACCTTGGTGGTTTGAAAAATTGTAAATACTTCATTGTCAGAATTTTTTATTTAACAGAATTAATTAAAAGAATGAAATTTCTAACTGTTCACCTATACAATAATAAAATTATTTGAATTATTAATTGAAATAAAATTTTAATATTATTAAAAATTGTTAATTAACTTGATAATTTATTAATAAAAGAATCTATTTATTATGAAATTAGAAATTTTTTGACATATAATATAATTTTTATAACTATAAAAAATAATTTATAATAACTTGATAATTTATTAATAAAAGAATCTATTTGTTATGAAATTAAAAATTTTCGGACATATAATATAATTTTTATAACTATAAAAAATAATTATAATTTAAGTAAATTTTAAGAATGTGTTTGTAATTTACTTATTAAAAACAGAGAATTGAATGCACAACTGACTGGACGTTACCTCCGAATATTCACCAGATTTGAATTTGTGGTTTCGATTCCGCACCACCCAACTCTTTCGATAAGCAGACAACTACTTATTAGAAAAACGGCGTATCATATCAATAACCACCTGCACTTATCACTGATAGGTCAGTATAAAGAAAGAAAGAAAGATAGATAGATAGATAGACTCCTGCCAAACGCATCGAAGATAGCGAGACCCAGTCCCCCCACAACCCCCCCATTTCTCTCTCTCTCATCGCCGCAGCCTTCCTCACCAACGCTTTCCTCAGCCAAAAACCCTAGAAATTCCCCAACCTCTTCTTCGTCCTCGATTTTTATCTCTCTCGATCTGTCGGTTTTCGAATCGGCCTTTGCTTTTTTCGCTTATGTTTGTGTTCTCCAAGTGTTTTGTGGTTTGATTTGCTTTTGATTTGAGATTTTGGAGTGTTTTGGTGGGGCAAATGTCCTCGCTCAGCAGAGAATTGGTGTTTCTCATACTCCAGTTCCTGGAGGAAGAGAAATTTAAGGAGTCGGTGCACAGGTGATTCTCTCTATCTCTATCTCTATCTCTATGTTTATCTATATTTGTGTATGAGGTTGTAAATCTCACCTCTGATTTGTTGTGATGAAAGCTCAGGGAAAATGAAAGAAAATTTTGGGTCTTAAGAATAACTGAACGAAGGAAAAAATTTGATCTGAACTCAGTTAATTAGTTGCATGAGCCTAGGAATGGGGTTTTATTGAATAATCTATGAAATTTTTGTGGCGATTAAAAAAAAAAAAAAAGGTCAGTAAAAGGAAAGGTTCTTAAAAATAACTGAGAGAAAGGAAGAAGGAAAAAATTGATCTGAACTCAGTTAATTAGTTGCTTGAGCCAAGGAATGGGTTTTTTTTTGATTTTTTTTTTTTGAAAATCTGAGATTAATACGTGTTAAAATTTATGATCTATGAATATGTGAAATTTTTGTTTGGTTATGGAGGAAAGAGAGCAAAAGAAGAAGAAAAAAAAAATAGAATTTTTATTTTTTCCCCATGTTTCTCTGTTCTTTTCTTTCTGAACTTACGCCAAAAATCTCCTTTTTCTGAAGAACAGTTGGGACTAAGCTTATAAGGCTGATCTAGTAGAGGTTTTGTTTGTTGTGTGACCTAGAATGGTAAACAAACAAAAAAATTGAGTTTGTAGCTTTAAAGGGTTTTAAACATCGGTTGTTATATATGGTATTGGCCGTTACGTAACAGAATTTTGGTTTTCCGTTACTGTTATTCAATATAACAATACATATCCTGGTACCGTTATTTAGATATGTGGATGTTCTCATCTTTCACAGCTGTGAAACTGATTATTTTCATTTGAAATTGGTTGTGGGTTATGTAGGCTTGAACAAGAGTCTGGGTTTTTCTTCAATATGAAATACTTCGAGGAGAAAGTACAAGCTGGTGAGTGGGATGAAGTTGAGAAGTACCTATCCGGATTTACCAAGGTTGACGATAACAGATACTCCATGAAGATATTTTTTGAAATCAGGAAGCAGAAATATCTGGAAGCTCTTGATCAGTATGTTCGCATTCTGTCTGTTTCTGATTTTTTATATCACTGTTGTTGCTCAGAAAGAGTTAATTGTCGTTATGTGTTTGGTTTACATTATTAGGCAAGACAAAGCGAAGGCCGTTGAGATATTAGTGAATGATTTGAAAGTGTTCTCGACATTCAATGAAGACTTATATAAAGAAATCACTCAGCTTTTAACACTTACCAATTTCAGGTAAATGATTTTTTTGTCGTTACATAGAAGGTACATTAATGCGCTGGTGAAGTTTAAAACTGGGAAGTCATTTTTTCATATCCTCTGTTTTGTCAATGAGAAGATGCGAGAAAAGAAAATAAAGTGAGATTTTGAATCGTCAGATTGTCATTATTTAGGAAACGACAAAACAAAAGCCCCACCCACTTCATTGAGCCTAACAAAATTGGTTGACTTAGTTGGTATTAATTCTTCATTTTAACATTGCATTTTTAATTTCTAGTCAAGTTTTTATATTCGAGAACCAAATGAAGCCTTTATATTCTCCCTCATTTATTATTGTTGATTTGAAACATTTAAAGTCTTGAGAATTTCATGTGATTTCAAGTCTTGCTACACTCAGGGTAATATTGTTCCTAGTTTTATTTTTTCTAGTTTAGCCAAATAAGTGAAATTTGAAAAGTAACCTGTTATTTAGGAAATTAATTATTGTCCTTCGAATACCAGGGAAAATGAGCAGCTATCCAAGTATGGTGACACTAAAACAGCTCGTAGCATAATGTTGATAGAGCTTAAAAAACTTATAGAAGCAAATCCTCTTTTCCGCGAAAAGCTTGTCTTCCCTACTTTAAAGTCATCAAGATTGCGGACTCTGATCAATCAAAGGTAATGTTGGTTTCGTAATGTAGGAGTAAGCAAATTACGATTATTTGATAATTTATTTATTGTGCTTTTATATGTCAGTTATATTAATTATTCATTTAAATTGGAGTCAATTTTCCTTTTTCTTTTTTGATGCATCCGTCTTTCTGTTGGCTACCCTATTGAGGTGGCTATTTTGAGTCCACTTAATTGGTACCCAACTGTTTTCACGTGTAAATTCTTAAAAATCTGATCTACTTTTCTTTACAACAGTGGTGATATTTTCTCAGTTGGTGAGTTGATATCTTTTTACTTGCCATTTGTTTACAGTCTTTCAGCATACTCATTTCTTGTGCGTTTTTTGACAATAAATTCATTTCCATGCGTTTATTTTGTGCTTATTTATGCCTGCGCTCAGTAAATTCCTGGATGCTCAATGTTTATTTTTCTTGTCATTCTTACAGATACTGCTATAGAATTGTGATGTTCACTGGGTATGTTTGATATCTGAATCTGATTTTGTTGTCTATCCAGTCTGAATTGGCAGCACCAACTCTGTAAAAATCCTAGGCCAAACCCAGACATAAAGACTTTGTTCACGGACCATACTTGCACACCTCCAAATGGGGCTCTTGCACCTACTCCTGTTTCTCTGCCACCTGCTGGAGTTGCAAAGCCTACTGCTTATCCATCACTTGGAGCACATGGTGTATGATACCATTTGTCTCAGATGTTTAATTTCTTCTCCCCTTCTCTCTAATTACATACATCTGTTTAGTAGTTTTACTGATGAATATCTTGTTTTCATTTGTTGTGTGTAGCCCTTTCCGCCTGCTGCAGCAACTGCTAATGCTAATGCCTTAGCAGGTTGGATGGCGAATGCTGCTGCTTCTTCATCCGTTCAAGCGGCTGTTGTTACTGCATCTTCCTTACCTGTTCCACCAAATCAAGGTCAGAGCTTTACTTCAACTGGACTTGGCACTAAAGTACTTGTTTTATTTTGAAAAATTTTATTGTACCTGAAAAAAGAGTTTACTTTTGTGGAAATTTGGTTATATGAACTTTTCTTATAAGCCTTTTTATGCAACATTTGCGAAAAAAGTGTTATCTGTAATTTTAATTGTTAAGAACTACAATTTTTTACTTATTGTTAATTTCTTTCTCATTGATTTATTTTTTCATTTTTTCTGGTTTTTTTTGGGTGGGTGAGTTTGTTTTTCAATTCTTGTTGTAATGAAAGTTCTAAATTTATCACAGCATTTTTAGTTTTGCAATGTTGGGAGGTGTTAAGATGTCTTGATATCCATTATGATGGTTTCCTAATCATGGACGCAACCTGAATATTCCCATGGAAAGAACTATTGAGAAGCTTATAATTTATTGTTTGCACCTTACGGGAATATTTAGATGCTATGTAACATTTGAAAAATGCAGTACAATCTCTTAACGGCTTTTAACTGTTAAGACCTACATTTTTTACTCACTGTTAATTTTATTTCTTTCTCAGTTTTTTCTTTCCTTTTTTTGGGTGGGATGAGAGGTTTTAAAAGTTTTTTGATATTCATTATTTTGGTTTTCTAATCATAGAGACAACCTGAATACTCCCATCCCATGGAAAAAAACTATTGAGAAGCTTATAATTTCTTGCTTGCATCTCATAGGAATATTGTAGATGCTATGCTGGTGGACTGTTTGTTGTGTACTTTGCTCTGCTGCAACAGGTGGCAGCATAGGAGATATTCACTTGATTGCATGACCTTTCATCCTCTATATTTGATCCTTGCTGTCAACTTTTGCTTATGCATATCTTAGTGACTATTTTTTTGAAGTGATTCACTTATTTTTGAACAGGTTCAATCTTGAAACGTCCAATAACACCACCAGCCACTCTGGGTATGGTTGATTATCAGAGCACTGATCATGAACAATTAATGAAACGTCTGCGGCCAGCACAATCCGTTGAGGAGGTAATATTGAAGGGTTACTGTCCTTATATGCTTTTGTTTGCGATGCCTATTTGTCGTTGTGCTAACTATTTCCTAGGCGTTCCTCTTACTAATGAATTCATTACTAATAGTGCTCGTCTTGCCAGGTTACGTATCCAACATCTCGTCAACATGCCACTTGGTCCTTGGATGACTTGCCAAGAACAGTAGCTTGTACCATGCATCAAGGATCTGCTGTCACCAGCATGGATTTTCATCCTTCTCATCACACATTGCTTCTTGGTATGATGGTCTTTGATCAATGATTTGAACATACCACCTATGATTTCAATGGTTGAGCTCCTGCTAAATAAATACACGAGTTCTTCCTTTTCTTTCCTTTATTTGACATAAATTCTCTTTTAAACAGTTGGTTCTGCTACTGGTGAAATAACGCTCTGGGAAGTGGGGATGCGAGATAAATTGGTTTCAAAGCCATTCAAGATATGGGAGATGGCAAATTGTTCTATGCCGCTTCAGGTTCCTTTTCATCTCTTTGTGGTGCTTCATTTTTATTACTTCCCTTTTCTTTAAATAAAAATAAAAAAAAAAATCTCGTTGCTTGTCTATGATGTGATATATACATATGATATGAGATATCTATGTAGGTTGTAAACGGCATGTATAAATTAATTGTGACCAGATTATTTCTTGCTTGATTTGGGGACATTTATAATACTAATCTTCAACTAGCTGTTGTCAAATATTAATTTTTTTTAAAATTCCCATTTGGAATGTTGAGATCAAAGTGATAATTTGGAAAAGAAGTCTCCAATTGATGCGAACATGCAAGAACCCTGATCTTTGTGTGTTGGATGCGCCATCCAGTGTCTTGCTTTCATAGTTGAAACTGTACCATTTTTTATTATTTATTTATTTATTTATTTTGTGGAGGCTAACAATTAATGGTGCAAGCAGGCTACCTATGTTAAAGAAGGGAGCAAGCTGTCACAATCTGTTACTCGTGTTATGTGGAGTCCAGATGGAAATTTTATGGGTACGTCAACTTTAACATCTGTGAGATTTCAGAATGTGCGTGTGATAATTTATCTATTTAATTTATTTATTGTTTTTTTCATACTGCAGGGGTAGCCTTTACAAAGTATTTGATCCATTTGTATGCCTCCACTGGGTCAAATGATTTACGTCAGCATGTGGAGGTGAGCTTGGGAGATTGCTGCCTGTCCGATGAATAAAAATCTTTAAGTGCTACTTGACATGCATCCCTTTGTGTTTGCAGATTGAAGCCCATGCTGGTCAAGTGAATGACTTGGCTTTTGCTCATCCAAACAAACAACTATGTGTGGTAACCTGCGGCGATGATAAGATGATAAAGGTGTGAGATAAATGTAGTCTATGTAGATATATTATTATTATTTTTTTATTGGTTTGTTTGTTTATGTATTCTTCACTGATGGAAATAATTGAAACAGGTTTGGGATTTAAATGGCCGAAAGCTTTTTAACTTTGAAGGGCATGAAGCACCTGTATATTCTGTATGTCCTCATCAGAAAGAGAATATTCAGGTATCTAAGATAAAGGGAACTACTTCGTTAGTTAGCAACTTGTTTATTTGCTAATTGATTTTTGTGAAAATATGTTTTAAGTTGTAGTTTAAATTTTACTTTGGATGAATTGAGTTGACTGATCTTTCTTCTTCCATATTTGCTACTACTTTTGGTACCCTTAGCCTTTCTTCGTTAAATGACCAAAGCATCTTAACAACAATAATGACACCATTCATTTGGTTGATCCTATTTGGAAAAAATCACAGAAGGTGCAAAGATCTATTTATTAGTGGACTAGTAGTTTTCCTTCTTTGAGTAGATTGTGAACTGTGAAGTAAAATTGAAATACTATTTCAAAGAACATTTGGTATGCGATATATTCTTTTGGTTATAGCGGTGAGAAAAACAATTGAATGGAGGTTTCTTGTTTGAAAAAAAAAAAAAAACCAGTTGTTTTTCTCATGGTGTAAGAAATAATGTATAGAGAAAGAGAGAGAATAAATTGTATGTATTATTATTGATTGATATATTGATATCTATTACAATGATTCATGATTCCTATATATAGAAGAGGGTGAGTGTGTAGTAGGTAAGGAGTAGGTGAAGTGGAGGTGGTAGTGGTGTAGTGGGTTAGGTTTAGTGGAGTAGGTTTAAGTGGGTGAAGTAGGTGGAGAGTATGTGGATTTAGTGGGTTAGGTTTAGTGGAGTAGGTTTAAGTGGGTGAAGTAGGTGGAGAGTAGGTGGATTTTAACACATGGCTATAACCAAAAGACTATATCGCATACCAAATGTTCTTTGAAATAGTACTTTAATTTTACTTAAGTTGTTGGCCCTACCTTGGAGGGGTTTCTTGTCAAAAAAAAGAAAGAATATATATAGATATGTATATGGTGGAAACACCGTGACTTTATTGTTATTAAAGATGGACTTTTGTGGAAGTTCATTTCCTACTGGAAAACATGTTTTGGTGACACGATGCTTCTACTCGTACATTTGCAGTTCATATTCTCAACTGCTATTGATGGGAAAATTAAGGCCTGGCTGTATGACAATATGGGATCTAGAGTTGACTATGATGCTCCTGGGCACTGGTGTACTACTATGCTTTACAGTGCTGATGGAAGTAGGTAAGATTACTGAAATTAAAAAAAAAAAAATTTGATATATAGGTCGTTGTACATTTAGCTCAACGATTGTTTTCTTGAATCCTCATTCTTCCCTTCTATTTATTTATTTTTATTTTTCTCGTATTTTTGAATGTCCTTGATGAGATTCAGCTGGTCAAATGAGGTCCTTCTAATCTTTCAGTCTCTTCGTTCCTCATCCTTTCTTTCAGATTATTCTCTTGTGGAACAAGTAAAGATGGGGACTCTTTTCTGGTTGAATGGAATGAAAGTGAAGGAGCAATAAAGAGGACGTACTCTGGGTTCAGAAAGAAATCAAATGGTGTTGTGCAGTTTGACACAACTCAAAATCACTTTTTGGCTGTGGGTGAAGATAACCAGATAAAGTTTTGGGAAATGGACACTGTCAACGTTCTTACTAGTACGGATGCGGAGGGTGGACTTCCGGTCAGTATTATGTGTTAACTTTGTAGTTGTTAGGGGAAACACCCAGCTTGTTTGAATTTGTCTCTTACATCATCACATTTTCACTTTAGGGTCTTCCACGCTTGAGATTCAACAAGGAAGGGAATCTTCTTGCTGTTACTACAGCTGACAATGGGATCAAGATACTTGCTACTGCTGCTGGTCTTAGTTCGATAAGAGCCATTGAAGCCTCGTCTTTTGAAGCATTAAGATCACCCATTGAACCTGCTGCAATTAAGGTCCATCCATGCTCTTGCTTTTTATTTTATTTTTTATTTTGGTAAAAATTTAAATGATTACGAATCACGATCTTTATAGACTGTTGTGTTCATTGATCAGGTTTCTGGCTCATCTGCTGTTGCAAATGTTAGTTCAGTCAACTGTAAAGTAGAAAGAAGCTCTCCGGTCAGGCCTTCTCCTGTTCTTGTATGTAATCTATACCTTTTCTACCAATAACTGTCAGGATCATTTTCTTTTGTTTCTCCCTCCCCCATTGTATGCCAAATTTTTGATTCAGCAGAACTGTGTACTGATGGATCAGACTTGAGGTTTGTATGTTAGAATCAGACACTGTTTAAATTCTTTAATACTGTAGTTTTGAGTTCTCGTTTTCTGCTACCACCTGGTTTAAGGTGTGAGTCACCTCTAGATCCCTAGTTCAGCATACTATGTTCCAGTCAGTGTACAGTGGATGCTTAAGAGGGGCATGCTCATTGTTTTCAAATCATGAATGGAATTGTGAATCAATTTGCTAAAATAGCGAATAGGAAATCATATCTAGTCGCAAATCATACTCTATATAATATATAATTTCATATATGTGTGTATATGAATGTACATTACAGGCATAGTATATAAAATGAAATAAATGTTAGTATAACTAAAATATATGTATATATATCCACTTATATTAATATAACTAGTTGCTCTCTCTCTCTCTAGGTGAAAACAACATTGTTTCATGCATTATCCAAACAAAAACAAAAACAGAACTGAATCACAATGAATTGTAGTGAATCACAATTTGAACTGAGCATTCACTCAATTTCCGATTCAATCTCCGATTCAACAGTACGCTCAAAGCGTTTTGGTTGAAACTCTTATTTAATTGTAAATACGTTTGTCAGATGATGAGCATGTTCTCATGGAGTTGAACTTAAATAATGACCAAAATAGAGTGATTCTAAGAATGACTAAGATTTTTGTTTTTGTTTTTGGGAGAACTACATGTAGGTGGGAGAAGGGGAAAAATTTCCAACACTTGCAACCTGCAGCCTTTCATTTGCATTTCACTACAGACACACTTGCACCCCCCATATCTTGATAGATTTTTTTCCCCTTCTCCAACCTGCATGTAGTTCTCCTATTGTTTTTGTTTTTGTTTTTGTTTTTGTTTTATTTATATAATGTACAATGTCATGTTTGTTTATTCTGGAAAGATATACTGCAACAGCATAGGAAGTTCCTAGCTGGCAAGGAACTGATTTTATGTTGATTTCTTTTCCCTCTAGAATGGAGTTGATATGGCTAGAAGCATGGAAAAACCAAGAACTTTGGATGACGTTACTGAAAAAAACAAACAACCCTGGCAATTGACTGAAATCATAGACCCTGCTCAATGCCGGCTGGTTGCCATGCCAGACAGCACAGATGCAGCCAACAAGGTATGTCTAAGTAATTTTTACTTCTTATTGTTGTGGCAATAATAATATTAATCTACCAAATGATGCTTGACGGACACATGTACACCCAGGTTGCTCGACTACTCTATACAAATTCTGGTGTTGGTGTTTTAGCACTTGGATCTAATGGTATTCAGAAGTTGTGGAAGTGGGTCCGCAGTGAACAAAATCCAAATGGAAAGGTAATAAAAAGTTGGTACTTGCATGTTTTCCTGTTTCCTTTTTTTAATTTGTGGGTATTCTGAAGAAGAAGTTTCTGAAGTCAGTGAGGGTTTAAAGGCCACTGCCAATGTTGTTCCACAACAATGGCAACCAAACAGTGGTCTTCTTATGACAAATGATGTCACAGGTGTCAACCTTGAGGAAGCAGTGCCATGCATAGCACTATCAAAGAATGACTCTTATGTAATGTCTGCTTGTGGTGGAAAGGTTTCGCTATTCAATATGATGACATTCAAGGTATGTCTCTGCATGAATTGGTTGCTCGTTTCATCAAAGACTTGAAGTATGAAAGGATTAAATATGGGATTTATTTTGAAATGTAGGTAATGACAACGTTTATGCCACCTCCGCCTGCTTCAACCTTCTTGGCATTTCATCCTCAAGATAACAACATCTTAGCCATTGGAATGGAAGATTCCACTATCCACATATACAATGTTAGGGTGGATGAGGTAATTTGCTTCCTATCATTATTTGAGTGCAGCCATATATTCTTACTGCTTACATAATTATAATCGATGTGATATACTTTGCCTTCTATAGGTAAAATCAAAACTGAAAGGTCACCAAAAGCGCATAACTGGCTTAGCTTTCTCCACCAATCTTAATATATTGGTTTCATCAGGAGCTGATGCTCAGGTAATTTGCACTTCATATTTTTCGTTCTTCTTTTCTTTTTTCCCCGTAATGTTTTATTTTATTTTATTTTAAATTGTATGAGAAGGTTTTTTGTTGGGGGTGCAGAGTAAATGGTAAACATGTAATGCCTTGTCATTCAACTATCATCACTTGGAAAAGCAGCCTTCTCTGTACTGTTGCTTTTTCTAAATACAGTATCTGCTTTGAAGGACAAAGAATTTGAACTTGACTCAGCACATGGACATACAAGTTGATCTTATGTAAAACCTGAAACACAGGGAAACCTACATTATCTAGAATTGTTACCTTATTTTATCCATAGATTTCTTGATCTCAATCAGCTTGTCACATCCTTGTTTTTCCTCTTTTCCTGCCCATTAGGGGCCGGCACTGGGCATTCATGGTTTTAAGACTATTCTGGCTGAACTTGTACTAATATAGCAACCTTATTTGCAGCTTTGTATTTGGAGCATTGATACATGGGAAAAGAGGAAATCAGTTCCAATACAACTGCCTGCTGGGAAGGCTCCTAATGGTGACACTCGAGTGCTGTTTCACTCTGATCAGATCCGCTTGCTGGTATCCCATGAAACACAGTTAGCAATATATGATGCTTCCAAGATGGATCGTATTCGTCAGGTAGAAAGTAAACCTAAGTAACTGGTATTGAGATAGCCTATAACAATTTTAAACTTATGATGGTATTTTTTCTTGCAGTGGGTCCCGCAAGATGTCCTCCCAGCACCTATTTCCTATGCAGCATACTCTTGCAACAGTCAACTAGTTTTTACTTCCTTCTGTGATGGTAATGTTGGGGTATTTGATGCAGATAGCTTGAGACTTAGATGCCGTATTGGCCCATCTGTATACTTGCCCCCAGCAGTGTTAAATGGGTAAGGCATCAGGGCCTGTTCCTGAACTTTTACTTTCATGAAGATGTGAAATTTATAAATGGGGCAAAGTGGGTTTTTAAAGGTGTTAGATCACGTGTACGGCCATTCCAAACTCTCAAATAAGCTTAATTACCCTAGTGCCCATTTCTTTTCTCTTCATACAAGTCCTAGTGTCTTATTTTTTTTATTTTATTTTATTTTATTTTTTGGTAAAGTAAACTTTGTGTCGAAGTTGTCTTAATAGTGAAGTGATGTAGGACAGGTAGGGGGCTACTCTCCTACTACTAGTGAACCCAAAATTAATATATGCAGCTGAAGACCCTAGGCTTTTGGGACTGAGTTTAATTGGGTTTTATGGTGGAATGGCTAATAAAACATAGAGGGTTTGTACGGGGTAACAAAAGGGTAGGCTTTTGGGGTAAATTATATAGGGAAAGGGAATGAAATTTGGGGATGTTCTAGGTGCAGTGAACAAAACCTGAAACATTATATATATATTGCTTTTAGACTGTTTTATGTGATCTAGTGTAAGGGAATTAGGATGTGAAGGTTTAAGCTTGGAGAATAGGATGTAAAAATTGAAGAGGAACAAATCTGGTTACTAATCGAAAAAGGAAAAGAAAGAGAGAAGTGTGGTTGTGCTGTTAAAATATATAGAATTCAACAAAGGAAGAAGAAGAAAGTTCTAGGAATCACTCCTCAAGGTCGGTCTTTATCCCTTAACTGCATGGAACCCAGAAAAATCTATCCCTATTGTTCTTTATCTTCTGTCTCGTACGTATTCATTCTAGATTTGATTCTTAAAAGTTACAAGCTTTTAGCATTGTTGATCTGATGCAATACTGAACCCTCTGATGGGATATGTTGCAGAAGCCAAGTGTATCCATATGTTGTTGCAGCGCACCCGCAGGAGCCCAACCAATTTGCTATTGGGTTGACAGATGGGTCTGTTAAAGTTATGGAACCCTTGGAATCAGAGGGCAAGTGGGGACTTGCTCCACCTGTTGATAACGGGATGCTAAATGGTAGGCCAGCATCGTCGTCCACCACAAGCAATCACACACCCGATCAGGTTCAACGGTGAAATTTCTTGTATTTAAGATCTGCATACCATACCCACCTGTATTTTACCATTGTAGATTTTAGGTTAGTCCTCCCTCGTGTCCCCTTATCAAATGTATGACTTGGAGTTGGTGTTTAGTTAGGTAAAGTATTGCATGCTTTAGTTAGGTCGACTAATATTAATTGTTTCTTTCAGCACCCTTTGTTTTTAAAATCAGTTTGTATGTAAATTTTTTCCCTCCCTTCAGGTGAATGCCTGTTTTGGGAGTGACATTTTAACATTGCTTTAGTTTTTCTGTGATAATGGTGGAGAAGAAATGATACTATGAAAGAACTTCATCATGATATTGACTTGTTTCTCGCAAACACTAAAAATGCAATGGTCGTAATGATCCAACACATATATGCTTTTCATCTTACGGATATATGAAATTTGACGTGTTATTTGTGTATATTGTGCTTGAACCAAGCCAAATTATACGATTTCACCCACATCCATCCTTGTGCCTGTTCTATTGCTTCTTTGTCTGTTTGCAGACTTTCTAATTTACTGATGAACTTAAGGCCCCGTTTGTTTTGGGGTGTAATGGATGGGAGGGGATTAGGATGGATGTGGGGTTATTTGTAGTGTTTGTTTGTAGAGTTATGAAATGGATCAGGATGGAGGAGGGGATTAAGATGGAGGTTGGAAAGGAGATTGGGATGGAGGAGGTGGAGGTGATATTAGAAAAATAGTGAGGGGATAAGAATTTTTTATTTTTTTTTTATTTTTTACATATTGAGAATTTTTTTTTTTTAAACATTAATGTTTATTTTTTTATTTGTTTTATTATTTTATATAAAAATAATTTAACAATTCTTACACTAACAACTATCATCTAAACAAATACAATTTTACTTAATCCCGTCACTACTAATCCCTTTATTAACAATTTCCTCACTATTAATTTTCTCACTATAAATCTCTTTCATTCTATCTCTGAAAACAAACGGGTCTAAGAAACTATTAATCAAAGATGAACTTGTAATAATAATTATTAAAACCATCCTTTCCGAAAAACAAGCAAGTATATGTAACTTCACTAATGAATTTAAGAAACTACTAATCAAACATTAAATTGAACTAACAAATAGTAATGAATAGAGCATCTTTTCCACAAAAAAAAGTCACTCATGACAAATATTAATGAACTCCAAACTATTCTAGGAGTTACTTGGGCACTCTGGGGGTGGATTAGGATACCTTGGCTTGTCTGAACAGTAGTCATAATACAAGTACTTGGCCCTAACATGTTGGTATGCCTTTAATTGATCAGGACTTAGTTCCCAATACTTGTCTTGATTCCACCAAGAATTGTTGCATTGTTGAGAATTGCAAGCTTGAATGTCAAACCCTCTATAGTGGGCTTCAAAGGGTGCTTGAGTCCAATTGATTTTGTTTCCACCACCAGCTGCCCAATCAGATTGCCATATGCTACCCACAATTTGCATAGGGTTTGTTGGGTAACTGACTCCAATCTTTATGTTGTTCTTGAACACTCTTATTGGGATATTGTCCACAAAAAACCTGTCAATATCATTTGTTATTTTAGGATTCCAAATACAATTTATATATCTAGCTAATGGTGGCAAGAGTTGAACTCCTAGGCTGTAATTAATATTTAATAATTTAATAATCTCTACTAGTTAATATTTTTTTGAGAAAAATAATTCTATTATTTAAGAGTTAAACATTCTTTGTTTTGAAAATCCTCTTGTAAGATTATTCGAATAGAAAAATACACTCAAACAAGCATATGTGTTTTATATGAATTATTACTAGTAGTGAACAATGGATTAATAGCTCTTTGTTTTTTTTATTTTTTATTTTAAATAACTGGGATTAGAAGCTTTAATATGACACGTAATGCATATTTTATGCAAACAAAGTCCATTCTCTTCAAAAATGCGCATGCGTATATATGTACAAGTATAAAATAAAATAAAAAAACTCATCATTGAGATTCATAGAGAAACTTAGGGCCTGTTTGGTTGTATTTCGCTTTCTTCATTTTGATCTTTCTTATTTTCAAAAAATAAAAACAATGATAAGTTTGCAAACACTCATTTTTTAACTCATTCTATTTATTTATTTATTTTTGTGAAAATACTTTACTAAAATTCAAAAATAACTTTTTGATATTTCCTAAAAAAAGAAATTTTTTTTTTAAAAAAAAAATTGGCATAAAAAGTTTTTCCAAAAAATGAAATCAGTAATTAAAAATAAAAAATAAAAACATAACCAAGCATGTACTTAATATTAGTTATTAAGTAGTAATTTTATTCTCCCACAAGTATTAATTATTACAAGTATCAATTATTAAAGAGGCTACTGTACTCAAAAGTATGATAGACTGAGATCCTCTTTATTATATCATTTAAACGTTGTGAAATAAGCATAATAATTTATCACTATTTTAAATTTAGAAAGAACAATTACAAACTCTTAAATAATGTAATGAAGATCTTCGATTATAGTTTTAGAATGGAGAGGATCACAATTCGATATTAGCAAATACGTGTCTGTATATGAGAGAGAGAGTGATAGAGAGAGTTCATACACTATTTGATGTTGGTTCCAAAGAATTTGATAGTCATGAAAATCAGAAAGGGGATCAAACCAAAGGTGAATCCTTTGTTCTCTGTTTCCTGTTGCATTTGCAAACACATTTGTTTGCAATACGTAAGGCCTGCCTCTCCCACCCAAGAACTCAATGTCAAGCTCCGAATGAGCCCCCGATGTTGAATTCAACTGTCATTTTTTCCACATTTAAAAAAAAAAATAACACAAAAAACAATTAATACAATCACTAAAACCATCTCTAATTCTTCATCAAATCTTTCATTAAATTTAAATTTAATAAAAATTGATGAAAACGGTACTCCAACCGTTTCATCAGTTTGGTTTAAATGAAGGAAGTGGTACTTTTTTCATCAAACATAGGGAGAGTTTATCCTTTCATCAAATTTGTAGGTGACTATTGGCCTGGACGTCCACCCGGATGTCCTCTCGGACAACCGTTTTTAGGATGAATTTGATAAAATTTACTCTAGACAGTCGACCGGCTAGATTTGATGAAAATGTTGGAATATATCGTATCAGAACAAATTTTTACTCAAATTTAATAAAATATGTGATGAACAATTGGAGAAATTATTAAGCAAACAATAAAACATCAAATTTGATGAACAAAAGTGTATGATCTTTACATAGAAAGTTGTAATGACTCCGGTAGAATCCTTATCCGGTAACTTCACCATCATATGAAAAAACCCAGAAATATAGCTTTGCTTTGAAACAAATCCAGCCCCTATGGTGCAATACAAACAAACAAACAAAAAATTAAAAATAATAAAAATAAAGAAAAAAACAGAAGAAGAAGAAGTATTCATTTTAAATCCAAGTATCTTACCTAAGTTTCTTGTATACGTACATAAACACACACAAAACACATACATAGATTTAATGATTTGCAAACATATGCCCAAATGTGTATTAAGAAAAAGGGATTATATACAGACACAGTCTTTCTATATGCAGAGTAAGGCTGCGTACATTTGACTCTTTTTAGATCTTGTAATTAACAGCGTCTTATGCATTGTATTATGTTTTTTTAAGAGGAATTCAAAGATAAACAGACATAAATTAAGTGTCTCTCTTCCTTGGTTGAGAAGCTAGACATATTCATTTCCTCAAGGCAATGTTGTGATATTTTGATCAAATCAAATAATAATAATTAAATTAGATAGATATATAGGTAGGTAGTCTTTGCATGCACACACCACAGCAAACAACACACATTTAAGAAAGAGAGGGAAAAAAACCAGAAGACTGGTCCAGAGAGAGTTGGACTTCTCTTCCTTGGTCAAGAATTGAGGCATGGTTATTTGCCCATGTAACATAGTAGTTTTCATCAAATGGAACATCAGCGGTACCATTTGATGATAGCCATGCAATTATAGAGAAATAAGACAACAGATTTGACACACTATAGCCCATTGAAAGTCTTACAAAACCTTGAGCAATCCTAGTTGTATTATGGTGTGGAGATGTATATATATATATATTTGTGTGAGTATAGGGGGCATAGGAAATTTGAATTGAAAAGTCTGTACAATTCCACCTTTCAAACCTAATTGACAGCTTTCAAAAATAAATGAGGAAACTATGAAATGTCTAAATTTTTTTTGGTAAGAAGGATATTTAGAGATTTATTACTAATCTCTTAGGTATATGTAGTCATTCCGTCTCACGCATATCAAAGTCATAAGTCTCCAAGGGATCAATTGCTTCATAGAATTCAAATTTAGAGCATACATTTTTTAAGGCACTTATCGCAGTTTAATTCGTCACTCAAATAATCTATGATTTATTTAGTTTCTTGGAATGAGAGAAAATGGGATAGAATGGTGATTTCTGAAGTTTTCCTATGAAATTATCATTTCCTTAAAATGGTGAAAGATTATTCCATTTGCAACGTATTTGTTATTATTATTTTAGCCTAACCAAATATGAGAATAAATATTCTGATGGAATGATCATTCCATTCCGCTTCATTCTAGCAAACCAAACATATCTCAGGGTTTAAGAGATTACTTTTTAGTTTTTATTCATTTGAACTCCAAAAAAAATTATACGATGATTCAAATAGAAAATAAATGGATTGAGATACTCTATATTACATATCCAAATTTTCATTTTATTTTATATGCTTGTAACGCATCATTCAAATTCAAAATTAACACTTTATAATATTCTCTTTAATAATTTTTAAATTAAAAAATAAGGACATATTGATGTAAATTTTTATCAATCATAATGTGCAGTAATGGTGAGGATCTAGAACAAGTTTGGAGGTCACATCTATTTAAGCTTTATTAATATATAAATGAAATGACCCTCTCATTACGTCTTCTAGTTGTTTCACTATTTTCATTAGCTCCACATTTGCACCACATCATTTGGGTCATTGTAGCAATCATGTTAATTGCATACTAGCCTTATATTCCATTATTGATCACAAATTAAAAATTTGAAATTAATAATTAAATAGCATTTGTATATTTACAAATATAAATATTATTATAAAATAAATATCTATATAATAAAGTAGGACGGTTTTTGAATCTTCAACATATTTTTTGTCCTACTAGGACATTTGGATGGCTCAGATTGTTCAAATTATAAAACAACGGCTGAGATATATTTTCTAAACAATGTCCTACATATACATTTTCTATTTTTCCACTTTTCTCTCGTACTTTTTCCTTTTCTCACCGATCATTCCATGATCCCATGATCCCACTTTCCTCTCCTTTTTATTTTTATTTTTTTATTTTCTCCCATTATTATTTTTCTCTCTATTTGCTTATTTTTTAAATTTTTTCATTTTTGTTCACTTATTTTTATTCATATTATATGGAAAATTCGGCGATCCCAGAATTAGGAGTCAGATTTTACTGTGTGTAGTGGAGATTAAATTAATAAATTTTACAGTCCACAAATTAAATTAATTTGAACAATCTATATAATAAAGCAGGATGGTTTTTGAATCTATTACACACACATTTGTCCTACTATGACATTTGGACGGCTCAGATCTGTTTAAATTATAAAACAATGGTTGAGATATATTTTTCATAAATGTCCTACATGTTCATTTTCTATTTTCATGCTTCTCTCTCTTACCTTTTTTTTTTCCTCACCCATGATCCCACATTCCTCCTTCTTTTATTTTTATTTTTTTATTTTTCTCTCTATTTGTTTATTTTTTTATTTTCTCCTTTTTGTTCAATATATTTTACACATATTTCCATATAATATATGTAAGCCCGTAATATACTAGGACATTACAGGCATACATAAAATTTTCATATAATTATATAAGCAAAAGCATTATTGTATGCATGCCCATAGAAGTTGTATGTATGCCAGACACATCTATCTATCTAGCTATATATTGTACAATAATGATTCATCCCACTAAAAACATCACCACTAATAGCACTAATGCATTAAAAAAGTTAAAAAAAAAAAAAAATGCAACTCCAAGACCAAAACATCACATCATTACTGGCGGGACCCACTGCCACCTAATTAGTGGGAGCACTAATTAGTGCTCCCAAGCATTTTTCTATATTGTATAAGTAAAAATGAGTTTTCGTGAGGAGTTTTATGAGAACTCCAAAATTTTGCAATAAATTTGTGAATTTATCAAATAAAATAATAAATTTAAATAGTATTGGGATTACAATTATATTATAATTCTAACATTATTTATACCATGCCTTCAGGTACGAGCATACGCTAGTCTATATAATAAAGCAGGACGGTTTTTGAATCTTCAACATATTTTTGTCCTACTAGGACATTTGGATGGTTTAGATTGTTCAAATTATAAAACAATAGCTGAGATATATTTTCTAAACAATGTCCTACATGTGCATTTTCTATTTTCCTGCTTCTCTCTTACTTTTTCCTTTTCTCACCCAACCTCCCATGATCCCACTTTTCTCTCTCTTTTATTTTTATTTTTTTAATTTTCTCCCATTATTATTTTTCTCTCTATTTATTTATTTTTTAAAATTTTCTCTTTTTGTTCACTTATTTTTATTCATATTATATGGAAAATTCGGCGATCCCAGAATTAGGAGTCAGATTTTACTGTGTGTAGTGGAGATTAAATTAATAAATTTTACAGTCCACAAATTAAATTAATTTGAACAATCTATATAATAAAGCAGGATGGTTTTTGAATTTATTATACACACATTTATCCTACTATGACATTTGGACGGTTCAGATCTGTTTAAATTATAAAACAATGGTTGAGATATATTTTTCATAAATGTCCTACATGTTCATTTTCTATTTTCATGCTTCTCTCTCTTACCTTTTTTTTTTCCTCACCCATGATCCCACATTCCTCCTTCTTTTATTTTTATTTTTTTATTTTTCTCTCTATTTGTTTATTTTTTTATTTTCTCCTTTTTGTTCAATATATTTTACACATATTTCCATATAATATATGTAAGCCCGTAATATACTAGGGGTCACGCTCGAGCGTAGATTACTCCGCTCGAGCGTACATGCAGACAAAGGTTTCCGCTCGAGCGTAGGGGTTGGCAACTGGGGAGACACGCTCTAGCATACTGTAGCCCAGAACTCTGTGAGTAACAATTGTGTAAAGATATGTTCAACTGATTATCTTTTGAATACTGAACTGAACTGTTTACTGAACTGGATTTTACTGAATGAATGTATGTCCTTTATTTCTGAACTGTACTGTGCATCCTTAGTACCTACGGTTTACTGTATTGTTACTGTTACAGAGATCTCTGTCGGTTCCCCTGTGGAGCCACTACTGTTTACTGACTGATGGCCATCATTACTGTTCGGTCTTTTAAGACCTACTGTTACTGTTATGCTAATGGATGTACCACATATGACTGTTTACTGTACTGAACGACTGAAATACTGATTGAATTGAACTGTTTTCGTTACTGTAAGGACATTCATTCTAAACCTCTTTATGCTTTATGTTATTCACTGGGCTTTAGCTCACTGCTCATATATATATGTAGGTGTGCAGGCACCAGACCGCAGCTAGAGGCGTCAGGGTTACTCCAGTTTTGTCAAGCCAGCCTTTATGCCTCACTGTGAGGTTCCGAGTTGCCATGCTATGGCTTGGGGGTGTTTTGTTTGTTTTTCCCCATTCTGTACTGTTTTACGGTTACTGTTCTGTAGACCGTGTGTTACTGTACTGTTATCTAGGGTCGAGTCCCTAGTCTAAATGATTGTAAATATTGTGTATACTGTTCTGTACTGGTTGTAAATGTATGAATGCATGAAAAATCTTTTTGGCATACAGACTGTCACAGCTCATTGGACATTGTTTAATTACTGTATTGGCTTCCGCCAGGCCCTGCACTCTGTTTTACTGTATCACTGTATCTGCAGGCCTTCGGTAATCTCGGATTACTGGCCGGTTACGGTGCTAAACCCATAGGGCCGGGTTTGGGTCGTGACAGTATGCCCATAATACACTAGGACATTATGGGCATACATACAATTTCCATATAATTATATAAGCAAAAGCAATATTGTATGTATGTTCGTGAAAATTGTATGTATGCCAGGCACATTTATTTATCTAGCTATATATTATATAAGCAAAAGTGAGTTTTCGTGAGGAGTTTTGTGAGAACTCCAAAATTTTACAATAAATTTTTGATTTTATCAAATTAAAAAATAAATTTAAATAGTGTTGGAATTGCAATTACATTCTAATCCTAACATTATTTATACCGTGTCTTCAGGCATGGGTATACGCTAGTGAATTTATATACCAAATAATTATACAATTAAAGTATATAGAAGTATTTTCAATTTTTATTTTTTTTAAAAAGAAAAAAATATCTGTCAAACAATAAAAACTTATCAACACTTTTTCTATTATCTCAAATGAAAATTATAAAATAAATCGTAGTGATTTAAGATAGATTTTATAAATTAAATTTATTTTAATATAAACATAGTTATTTATTTTGACTGAAATCATTGTATTTTTTTTCCAATTAAGAATATTTTAATATTTTTAAAGGTCCTTGGTATTAAAATTTTATAGAATAAAGGACATGCAATATTTTTATAGTAGTTGGGGTCCCTCAACATTTTTCTAAAGAAATTTCGATTCAAAAACCTTTTGATCCAGAGAAATTTCATATCACAGAGAAATTTTGAAATTTCTCAAGTTTGCTCAATTTCTCTGATTTTTTTTCCTATGTTTTCAAATTTTCACTATATTTTTAAATTTTTCTAATTTGCACACAAAATATTCTAATTTGCTTACAATTTTCTCTATATTTTGACTAATTTTCTCTTATTTGCTTACAATTTTTTCTGTGTTCTAATTAAATCAAAGAAAATTGTGTTTTGGCTTAACTAGAGAAAATTGATCAAAAAGCTAACACAAAGCGATTTCAACATAGGTTTGGCTA